AAAACAACAACATGGCAAAACAAAATAAACCCCTCCCTCCCAAAAGAAATAAGAAAATACATACCCATGCAAAACAGTTCCAAATGGTTTATGTTATATGATACCTTCAAAGAGGCATCTATAACTCCCGGTTTCTTCCTTAAAGGAGGCTATGCAGGCATCTTCTTTCCAAACAGCAGAGTATAGAAGGAGGGGCTACCTGTACAGCTGGGCTGGGTGGCACACATCTGTAATCACATCACTCAGGAGGCTGAGGCAGGAGGATCACTGCAAGTTTAAGGCCAGCCTGAACCACATCGTGAGACCCTCCCCAAGAGTGATTATACAGTGAAACCTGACAAGCATTACATCAGATCACAGTCAATTTCAACAGAGATAAGTTGTGGTTGGGATTTTAGTTCAGTGGTAAAGTGAATGCTAGCCTACTAAGTGTGAAGCCCTGAGTTTGGAAAAAATTAAAAACCAAAAGAAAAAAAAACAAGACATAAAACATGTTGATTAGATATGTCCTTTGACTAGATATGAAAAAGCTACACTTTATCTCTGTAGTTTTCCCTACCAAAACCTTAAACCCCCAGTGTAACCATGAAAAAATATCAAAAAAGTGTAAGAGAGGGGCATCCTGTAACATACTTGACCAATAACCTTCAAAACTGTCAAGGTTTTCAAAAACAAGAAAAGTCTAAAAAACTACTACAGCCAAGAAGAAAGGATAAGGAAAAATGACAACTAAAGGTAATGGGGTCCTGGACTGGACAGCAGGATAAAAATAAGACAGCAGCAAAAGCTAAAGACAGCTGGCCAGGAGGCACACACCTGTAACGCAGGCCCTCTACAGGCTGAAGCAGGAAGACTGCTATGAGTTCTAAGCTAGCCTGAAATACACAGCAAGACCCAGGCTCAAAACCAAATATACCAACCTGTGTAAGATTTTAATAGGGGAATCTGGGTACGTAATATAAACTGCACTATTCTCTCTCTCTGTCTATTCTATAAAACTGAAACAACCCATTTAAATTGTGTAAAACTAGAAACCCTAAATGTAGCAGCGTCACGTATCTTTATGTTTTCTTCTCTTGGCAGCAGTAGTGAGTGAACTCAGGACTGTTGCATTGAGTTACAACCTTGGTCCTTTCTTATTTTTTGTTTTGAGATAGGATTTTTTTTACCATGATGCTAAGTTGTCCAGGCTGGGCTCTAACGTGGGATCCTCTTGCCTCAGCCTCTAAGAGTGCTAGGCTGACAAGCACAGGTAACCACACCAGGCAATATCTGACATTTTGGTTACATTTCCTTGGCAGCATTTAATTATGATAGCCATAACTTTAAGAGAATGTCATTGTAAAATATTTGCATGTTATAAAAATAAAACACGAAGAACCAAATGGTTACAGGTAGGTTACTATAAATTAAGTTTATTTATTTATTTTTTGGGACCAGAGTCTCACTATGTACTTCCAGCCTCAAACTCATGGTAATCCTCCTGCTTCAGTCCCCTAAGTACTGGGATTACAGACATGTGCCACCACACCTGGCACAGGGACAATTTTGGATAGTCTATTTGCTAGAGCTTAATACAATGCAAGAAAATAATTAAATAACTCTTTAAACACAAGTTACGCCAGATTAAGTGTGCACATGAGACATGGAGTGAGATCAAGCCAGGGGCAAGGACTATAGTTCAGCGGTAAGGAGGGCACATAGTGTGCAAGAGGCATTAGGCTCAATACCCAGCATCAAACATGAACAAATGAATGATTCACCCACTGTGGTCCTCTAAGTATTTTTTATTTTGGGCATATTGGAAATTCACCCCAGCATGCCAGTAAGCAAATATTACTACTGAGCTACACCTCCACTTACTTGAGCCTAAGTTTTTTTTTAAATCAGAGGGAAACACCAGGCATGATGGCACACTCCTGTAATCCCAGCACAGCACTTGGGAAGCTGAGGCAGGAGGATCGTTGCAAGTTCGAGACCAACCTGGGTTACAAAGTGAACCCAAGGCCAGCCTGAACTGCACAGTGAGACTGTATCTGAAAAAGACAAAAAAAAAAAAAAAAAAAAAAAAAAAAAAAAAAAAAAGCGGGGGGGCCAATTTATTTAATTATTAAACAGGAGGAGGTGTAATAGGAGATAGAAAGCTAAACAACCCCCAAAATAGATTTAGAAAGCTCCAGAAGGCACAGAGAATGTGGACTAAGATTTTGGACATAGAAAACAAAATTCTGGCTCAGTCACATGCCATCTGATAGTACACAAAAGTCTTTGTTGTTAAACGATCTAATTCACTGACATAAAACTTATGGGCCCTTACCGTTTTAAAAATCACTACCACGCCAATTATTTTAACATTAGTGTCTTTACTGTCTTCTTCTATGCCTCAAATTCCTTCACAGCTTGTGATTTCATTCTTGTTTTCTTAGCACAATCACAATTTTTTGTAGTAAGTAGTCTCTCAGCTAAACATTTCAGAGCTATACCTATTAATTTCAGAGTACAAGAAGATATAGTAGATTGATAACTTAGTACTTTCATTAAGACATCTAGCATGTGTAATAAATCGTATTTAAGGACAAGAACAAAGAAGGAAATTCCAGGTTCACCGGATATCCTTGGCCTCTCTATAGAAAAAAAGGAGTTCTTTTCAGCCTATCTACCACCAAGCCTTTACCTAAGAAGTCTTCCTTTGATACTGTTGGTATTTAAATACATTTGTTGCATTTTAAAAGTAAATACATTTCTGATTAAAGAAGCTGTAACAAAACCAGTTTCTAAGATTCCAAAAACTGATACAAGGGGTAAATGTTTACATTTTTAAAAATTGTTACAATAAAGACATATGGCCATTAATCTCTCTCAAAATAGTCCCCTTTATTTTTAATACACTGAACCCATCATTCTTGCCACTTTGTGAAGCAATTATGCTGGAGTCCTTTTACATGAGTGTTTTTTATATAATAGGGAATGTTGCTACTGAGTGTCATCTAATGGAAAGGCAGGCTCCTACACACTAGTGTATCCTTGTTCACTGTGTGTGGCACTGTGTGATTCTCCGAAGTTAAAATGACCATGCAAAGTAAATGTTTTAAAACTATTTAGGACCTTGAGGCAACCACGACAGCATAACTAAAGACACATAAAGAGGGTTTCAAAACTGCTTCAGAAAGTAGCAAGAGGAAGGGTTTGAAATGAGGGAGAGTATTGTGATAGGGATTAATAGCAACCTGTCTTTTACTGCTGGCGCTCTTCAAAGCTCAGGCACAGAGTTGAGGGTATAACTCAGGGGCAGAGCATGTGCTGAGCACATGACACCCAGCACCAAAACAAACACAAGCAAACCCGACAATTAATGTCTGATCTACTTCTGGGTATAAACCCAGAAGAATTGAAAGCAGAAACTTGCTCAGATTATTTGAGTACCATTGTTCATAAAGCACAATTCAAAAAGTAGTGTTCATAATAGCTAAAGGTAGAAATAACAAGAGTCCTTTGACAGGTAAAAAAAAAGAAACAAATGTGACACACACATATAATGTCACATTCTACTTTAATGCCAGCCACTCAGGACTACTTGCCACCACTGAGTCAGGAAGAAGGCTATGGGCCTGGGCCATAGTGAGTTCAAGGCCAGTGTGAACGACGTACTGAGACCTCACCTCAAAGAATAACAACAACGAAAAACAAAAACACACAAATTCTGTACGAGCTCACCCATAAGGGGTACCTAGAGTAGACATTTCAGTGACAGAAAGTGAATGCAGCTTAAGCTGCCAGGGCCTGGGAGAAGAAAGAAATGGCAATTTATGTTTAATGGAGACAGCTTCAATTTGGGAAGATAAAAAAGATTTTAGAGATGGATGGTTGTGAAGGTTGTACAATTACATGAACAAAGGTAATAACAGAACTATAACCTAAAAATGATTAAAATATAGAATTTTATCTTATGTACATTTTATCATAATTAAAAAATCATAAATAAGGTTTACTTCTGGGTCAATATAGCATCCTAAAGTATACCAATATCTTTAGCCTTTTAAAAAATCAAAAGAAATGAATTACAACTTTCTCGTTTTATAAAAAAGTACTCTTTGTCATTATTTAGTGACAACAAATTATTTATGTTTACAATCCTGGTGAACTTAATGATCAACGTAATCATCAAATCATATAGCAGGAACTCAGCCATACAATGGGACTGACTACAATGCTTAATTATTATTTTATATACAAAAGTTCCAAATGACCAAACAATAAACATTACCACTCATCCCTTCAAACAGTGTACTAAATCTGCATAGTACTAGAGAATTTTCATCACTCCTGGTACACAGCAAATGATGTTCAATTCACATTAATAGAAATAAAAGGGGAGGAAAAGAACTACCCCAACTTTTCTTTTTATTTCAAAGGTTTTTCTTTTTCTTTTTTTTTTTTGTACCAGGGATCGAACTCAAGACCTTGCACATTCCATGCAGGTACTTGTGCCACTAAGCCAAATCCCCAGCCTCTCAAAGGTTTTTCTTTTGTTTGTTTTTTTGAGACAGAGTCTCACTATGCAGTTCAGGTTGGCCTTGAGTTCTTAGTGATCATCCTGCTTCAGCTTCCCAAGTGCTGGGATTATAAGCACACATCACCACATCTGGCTTTCAACAGTTTTCCACTTTTGTCACTATCCCATTCTCCTATACTGAAAGCCTCTTTTTGTGGTCACATTCTATTCTCCCCTATTGAAAACAACGTAACTTTGATCATAGCATGGCTCTGTCTGGTAATGCCAGTTATCAGTCTGTTGGTTTGGTTTGCATTTGTAGAATTTATATGTTGGGGCCAGGAATTTAGCTCAGCAGCCTAAGTGCCTGCCTGGCAAGCGTAAGGTTGTGAGTTCAAACCCTGGTACCAAAAAAAAAAAAGTACAAGTTGGCAAAGCACAGAAAGCTAAAAAGACTAAAAATCCATTAGCACAGTCATTAATATATAAGGAACGATCAATGACAAACCTTCCTGAGAAGACACAATGGGTGGCAAGTAATCCGGAATGTATTCTTTTCTTTCCTCTGCATCTTTACTTCCGGGTTGTGGAAACTGGAGTACATTGTTCTTGCTAACAGGAAATGAAGGGATTTGATGTGGGAAAGTGACGGGTTCGATATTGTGAATATAGTCTTCTAGTTCATGGAGACTAACTCCCATAAGCTGGAAAGCTTCACCAACATCATCCAAAATTGGGTCTGTTCGGCCATCTGAAAGGCAAGAGCAAACTATTACTTAAAGAAAAAAGTTTTAAACTTCTAAAATACTTTAAAAAATTTAAAGATTGCTAAATAAATTTTAATATGAGCTTTTTTAAAAGAGCGTATTAGAAAAATATGCAGCTCTGAGTCAAATTTATTATGTATTTAATACCTAGATACTATGAAGACTTTAACAGATTTTAAGCAGAATATCACATTAAATATTAGAAAGCTGATTATTGAAAGGGGCTAGGGACAGGAATATAACTCAGCAACCCTGTGCCTGTCTAACGCAAGGTCATGAGTTTGAGTTCCAGTACCAAAAATAAATAAATATATAAATAAAAGGGGCTGAGGACACAAGTCAGCAAAAAGGTTTGGGTTCATTCCCCAATACCACTACCAAATCTGCAACAGTGGCTGACACAACATATATGCCAATAAATATTACTATTACTACCTTCCTCATCAAATAGCCAGTATACTGTGTTGAGTAAGTAAATGTCTATTACATTTTCCCTGTTATTCACTGATGCATCTCTGGAACTGTTAACAGTGGCTGACACATGATGGGTGCTCAAATACCTGTTAATAATTAGACTACTGAATCAATTTTTTAAATAAAGAATATTTATAAGGAAGAAAGGACTTATATCCTCCAGGTAATTCCTATATAAATTTTCAAGTGCAATTAGAAGGTGTTACATAAAATAGACAAACAGAAAGATAAAAAGTTACATATAATGAGATTTTTTTTAACAAAATCCAGGTATGATGGCACACATCTGTAATCCCCTTACTTTGGAGGCTGAGGCAGGTGGCTTAATGCCAGTTCAAGGTCATACACAGTTCAAAATGAGCCGAAACTATATAGGAAGACCCTATCTTTAAAAAAGCAAAACAAAACAAATGCATTTTTTCCTCAGGACTATCCTTAGCAGAACCTGAGGCTCCCGTATCTTTTTGAATTTCTTCAAGACCTAGACATGAAGGCACACAACTGTAATCCTAGCATTTGGGAAGCTGAGGTAGGAAGAGCACAAGTTTGTGGCTGTCCTGCACAACTCAGAGACTTAGCAAAATTTTGTCTCAAAAATAAAAAAGGGCTGGGGATATAGTTCAGTGTAAAGGCACTGGGCTTAACTGCCAGTACTACAATAAACACTATTCATAAAACATAAGTATACATTTCATCTCTTGTATTCTTGTATCACTCTCTCAGTACAAAAAACAGAATCATCTTAAATTCCTCCATGTGCTTTTCAGTCTCAATCCATCACCTTCTGGTGCTGCTACCTTCCCTTTGCCTGCCATAAAGTTCTGATTTTTCTTACTGTGTATCTAAATCATTACTTCAGCGTACAGTGGTTCCTCCCTGGTCCAAAGGGGATACATTTATAAAGTCTCAGTAATGCCTGAAATTTCACATAGGATTGAACTCTAGAAATACTTTTTTTCTTTCCTATACTTACATATTTATGATAGTTTATTTGTAAAATAGGCACAGTAAGAGTTTATCAACAAATCATTTTAAAATAGAACAATTACAATGTACTCTAATAAGTTATTTAAAATGCATGAATTGTTTATTTCCAGTAATTCCACTTAATATTTTCAGATCACTTTGACTATAGGTAGCTGAAACATTAGTAAACAAAACTGTGGATGGAAGAGACACTATGTAGTTTCAAGTCCTGCTGCCCACTGGACTGTCCCTTAGATTTCACCGCAATACTATTTCCTTAAAACACCACTTTCTTCACAATATTTCCCTATTTATGAATATGCAAGGTGTTTTGTTTTAGATAGGATCTCACTATTTAGGCCAGGCTAGCCTCAAACTCACAATCCTCCTGTTTCAGCCTCCGAAGTGCTGAATTACAGCTGTGCCACCACATCTGGCAGGAGTATACAATGTTTTCTACCATATTTTACTTCTTTCATAAAGACTTTAATTCTTGGGGGGCCAAGAACTCAGTAGCACAATGCCTGCCCAGAAAGCACAAGTCCTGAATTCAATTCCTAATTACACCCCTCCCCCCAAGATTTTAATTCTTTCCATAACCTAATTTCACTCTTGAATATTTTCCTTGAACAGTTTTCAAACGAACTAGGAACCCACATGAAGCTGGTCACCTTAAGGGGCACTTTCGATCTTACTTGGACATCTCATGTTAGAATTCTCTGGACCTTTATACAACTGTATTTCATAGTTCAACTCAACACTCATCTTTTCTGTGAAGTAACCCTAACCTGAAATCCATAGTCCATGAACACACAGCCTTTATCTTTTACTTACTCTTTTTTGAGCTATATTGTGAGTCCTTGTCTCAAAAAATAAATAAAATAAAAAATTAGAAGGTAAAATACAAGATTGCATAGTTGTAATCTGAGGTTACAGAATTCAATTTTGAAATAAATACTGTGAAAAAAAGAATCTTAAAATATCTACTTAATAGTATATCTAAATTAGCATTTTAAGAAATTCTCCAAATTGCCAAGAAGAATAAAGAACATGACAACTACATTCTAAAATTAAGAAAACTGACTGGAGGAATTGTGTAACGAGGAATAAGGCTCACTTTAACACGTCCTGCCAACTTGTTCCACCACCCGTTGGGACAGTCATGCATGTACCACCGCTGGTTCAGAGCCACCTGGCAGCAAGACAATAAATAATGGCCCTATCACGAACACGTTAAAGAACTACAACAATCCTTTGGTGACTTTAGAATACCTAGTTACTTGAAGTGTCAGCACACATTCTGGTTCTAGGTATAAGGCATGAAAGGTAACAATGTATTCAGTGGATGTTTTGGCATCTGTCAATCAACATCTGTCCTTATTTAGGCAACTTGGCACCAAAAATATAATTAAAACTATCTATAATGGTGACATTTCACTCATTGACCACAGAAGACAGTCTGAAGGAAAATAAGCAAAAGCCAGGAAAATATTCTGTTGGTGAACTTCCTTCGGGATAATGACGAACGAATGCTACTTCATAGATCCCACTTTAGAAGTACTGCTGAAATCAAGCATTCAAGAAGTTGGACAAGTCAAGCTGGGGGTAATAACACATGCCTGTTATCCCAGCTACTCAGGAGGCTGAGGCAGAAAGCTCAATACCACCACAAGCAACTAGCAAGTGTTTGTCTGAAGACTAAATAAATAAGTAGGACTGGGACACAGCCCAGTAGGGAAGCATCCCTGGCTTCAATCTTCTCACAGGGGTGTGTGGGTCGATGAATAACTATCATGGTAGTGGATTCTCAGTTCATTCAATCATTGAACAAATATTTTTTTGGGTGCCAATTGTATCTGAACCCATTCTAGGTTATAAAACATAAATATAATCAACTTATCTCCTGGAGAGAGAAAGAGACATACAGACAATTACACAATGAGTTGAGAAATCAGGGTAACACGCACAAGATTATAAAAGCAGATAACATGAGCACCCTAGAGCAACACAATGTGAATCTTCAAATAAAAAAGTTCTACTGTTGGACTAGGGAGTGAAGGACACTTGGAAACAGCATGCATTTAGGCACAATAGCTTTACATGTTCAGGAAAAGGCAGGTAGCTCAGTATGGCTGCAGATAAGTAAGGCAGGGTGGCAGAAGATAAAAACTAGCTCACAAAGGAAACTGTTTAGATTTTTACCCTTTAACCAATGAGTGCAACTGAAATATTTTTAATACTAAGAGCATCAGATTTGGGCTAGGGATGGGATCTCATTTGTGTTTTGGACAGCACTTTGGCAGCACTACTGAAATGGAATTTAGAACCTAAGAAGTACAAGGCATCTAAGGATCTCTACTTTTTAAATCTGGGAACCACTTTAACAAAACATTCTATGAAGCACTTCAACTAGTTTGCCAATTTATCAATTTAAAAACCACAATCTGAAGTTTAAATGAGTGGTACCCCAACACCCATACACATATGCATGTTTCACACATCAACAAAATGATGCTCAGCTTCTGTTAAAATGGTCCAAATTACTAAACAGCACTAATAATAGATAGTTCCAGACACTCGCTCAAAACTTGAAAAAACACTGAAGCCCAGGTTACCTGGAGAATCTGGCAAATTACCTATGATCCTTCCAACAAACTTTGATAGCCACTGACATAAAAACTGTAACCGAGGAAGACAAGCAACCGAGATATAAATGAAAGTTAACCTATCAGTGAAACTGACCATGTCAGCCCTTAGAAACAGTAAATGGAGATGCTGTCTATCAAACGATCAGATACAGAAAGAAGAAGCAGAGTCCCTAACAGAGCTGTCAACGACTCCCAGTAAGGAGCTGCTCAAGAATGGCCAGCCTGGTAAGAAACGGCCGGTAGACGGAGCGCCTGTGACAACTAGTTGTAGTAGTTTGCGGGCAAGGGAGGAAAAGAACCAGGGTAAGAGGGTGTAGCGCATTCTGGGGGTGGTTCCACCCGCAGCAAACACGAGACAAGGAGAAAGAGCGAAGCACATCCCAGAGCGAGAAGAGGAGAAGGTGTGGAGCCCAGAGCGGAGCCTGGGCGCCCGGGCTGTGGCGGGAAGTTAGCGGATGCAGGGGAGACACTGAGAATGACTGGAGTTTGCAGGAGCAGTGGAAGCCCAGGGACGCTGGGAGCCGAGAAGGTGGCAGATCTCGGGGCGAGGTGCCGATGGCAAACCCCTGGGACGCCGAGGGAGGGACGGGGAGACCGAGGTGTCACGCGTGACTCGCCGGGCAGTCCTCCCGCACCCAGCCCGGTACTCACAGAGTTCAGAGTACCGGTGGCAGCCCCGGCCCAGCTGCTGCAGATAGCGCTGCAGCACATCGGTGAGGAGATGGCAGGCGCTGAGCTGCACCGAGTCCCAGCCCAGCGCCTGGCAGATCTGCGCCACCGAGACCCTCAACAACGACCTGGAGTAACTCTCGCACATCCCGCTGCGTGGACGCCACCGCAGCCCTTGCTGCCACTTCTCTCCAGCCCCGCTGCGTGACGTTAGCAGAGCCCCCAACTCATTGTCTGGGGCCCTCGAGGCGGGGAAATCGTCCCCCGGACCCCCGGCGACCACCTCAAAGCCCCAGCAGCACGGAGCGCGCCAGCCTGAGAGCCGCCATTTTGGGCTCGCTCCGCCTCCCGCTGGAAGGCCGCCGGGGCGAGGCAGCATGAGTCGAATACCCGTAGCGCTGATGAGAAAGCTCCGCCCCTGGGAGTAGAGCGATGGTTCCGGTATCGACCCTGGGGCCTGGGAGTCGGCCGGAAACAGAGGTGCTGAGTTGTGATCGAGGATACGCCTAAGGCCAACAGGTACGGGGGGTAGGTAGGAAAAGGAAGAGGGGAAAAATCAGTGTTTTAAGGGGCAGGCGAGGAAGGTGAAATGACAGTGAAATGTTAATATTATTGGACAGTTAACAGCGAGAGGTCGGAGATAAGAATATTTAAGGTGGTCTCCAAAACGAGGATCTGATCTGGTCTCGCCTCTGCTTTATGTAAATAAATAGATAAATGAAACCAGGCGTGGCCATGCACGCCTGTGACCTTAGCTCTCGGGAAGCTAAGGCAATAGGACCGCGAGTTCAGACTGGGCCACGCAGGAATACCCTAAAAAAAAAAAAAAACACCAAAAACAAAAACAAAAAATCTAAATGAGATGGAAGGGGCCGTTTGCCACTATACAATCTGAATGAAAACTGAGCTGTTGGCATATCATTCATAGTTCTTCAGGTTAGAGCTAGGACTAAAGGCAGCCTCCATCCCCCACTTAATGGAGACTCAGTGCTCAAGAGCAAATAATTCAAGCTGTCCCTGAGCTCACTGTGTAGCGCAGGCGGCCTCTAACTGTCAGGATCCTCTTGCCTCTGCCCCCCTGAGTGCTGAAACTGCAGGTGTGTGCTACCATGCTGGCGAAGAGCAATACTATTTTAATACAAGTTAGAAATCGAAGGTCTTATGTTTTAAGTCACTACCAAAGTAGTGACTTCCTTTTCTCTGTGCTGCTGTGCCTTGGCTGTAGGATCCAGGTAGCTAACATTTTAGCAGGCCTGCTGCTGTGTCTCCTCGTGAAAGTATTACTCCATTTGGAAATTGAAGGTAGTAAACTTGGAAAACGAGAATTGTAGGGACAAGAACATCTTCTCTAGTTGGTCACTGGTAGTGATGATGTCCAAAGAAACTCCAGCCTCCAACCCAGGTCATGTACCTGCTGAGAACCCAGAACCATAGAAAAGCCACTGACTTGACATGTGCATAGCCTCCTGGTGGGAGTACCAGAGTATTAGCTGTGAGCTGCTGCTTCAGCTATGGCTACAAAAGGCAGTTCCAGCTGGCATGCTGTCACCATGGATTTCATGGCCTGTACCCACCCACGTCTCCTGTGTAATAAAATCGGTCCCTTGAGTTAATGCAGCATGGTATAGGTTCTAGCTAATTGGACATGATGAGCCAAAAAGGCAAATCCTGGCTCAGAATATGTGTCTATTTCTTACCAAATTACATGGCTGTTCTTAGGATCAAGGGATCCTGATGCAGTAAACTTGGTTTTCTTGGTGATTCTTTTTGTTTTGTTTTGTTTTTTGAAACAAGGTCTTGCTCTGTAGTCCAGGCTGGTCTTGAATTCACGACATACATGAGACTGGCCTCAAACTCATGGCATTTCTCCTGCTTTAGCCCCCCAAGTGTTGGGAATATAGCTGTGTGCCACCATGCCCAGTGCATGTAAGGGCAGTTTCAAAGGCATCTTCTCAGCCCTCCTGCTCTCATAGTTATTGTTGCTAGGATAAGGAACACTATGTGAGTTGTGCCAACACCCCAGTACGATCTATTCCAAAGACACACTCAGGAATCAGGGAATTAGCCACTTAGTGGGACTATAAACCTGGGCCAAGATACTGCCTCCATATGCTGTCTTCCGGCAGGGGACGCAGTGACTGCTTCTCCTGGCTTCATTCTCTGCCCCTCTCTTCAGCAGTTCTCAAATGTGTGGGCATTGTGTACCCAGTGGCTGGCTTCCTGAGTAAGGGCTGCCAGTTCTTTTGGACGGTATAGAGGTGCTTATCTTACCAATGTAGTGTCACAGCATCCTTCCTCCTCAGGATTCCAAGTCCTTCAGTCAATAGGGTGACAGTCTGAAAACCTGGTCAGACTCAGGGACAATGCCTGGTTAATGGAGTGTCTGCTCTCGCAACTGGATTGCCCATTCTTAAATTATTTTGAGCCAGGCATGATGATGAACACCTGTAATCCCAGCACTGAGGAGGCGGAGGCAAAAGGATTGCCATGAGTTCATTGCCAACCTGGGCTATATAGTGAAGTCAAGGTCAGCCTCAACTATACAGCAAAACCTTGTTTCTTTTTTTTTTTTTGGTACCAGGGATTGAACACAGTACCTCACGCTTATCAGGCAGGTGCTTATGCCACTGAGATAAACCCCTGGCCAAGACCCTATTTCAACAAAGTATTTTGATTATACAGATAGCCCACTTGTTGCTGTCCATCTGTTTTATCTTGTGGCCCCTTGTTCTCTGACTCGCTTCTGTAACTCACCAGACTGGACCACTCCCCTGTTTTTCTCTCATGATAATGGTATTTACTTGGCTTCTGGTAAGTGCTAAGACTGCTACCTTGTCTCTATAATGTTAGGGTCCCTTGACCCTCATACGTCTATATCTGATCCATGGATATGTCATACTACAAGAGTAGCTGGTGCCTACTCTTCTGCTGCTCCAGTTCATCACTGGTAAAAGTCTAACTGCTTGCACATTCAGGAAAGGATACACTGTGCCACGTTAAGTACCTCTGTACTCCTCCACCAGTGCCGAAATCCTTACAGGCAGCCACCTTACAGGTGATCCAGCTTTAGAGTCCCCTCTTAGTGTCTACGCTCTTGTATGCCTCCAGCATGAATTCTCCCAACTTGTGTACCCAGGACATGTGCTGAGATGCAGATTAGCCTGCAGAAGGGCACTCTTGGAAGAAACACATGGGGGAGGGGAGGGGAGGGAAGGGCAGGAAGTGGGATTGGAAGAAAGAGAAAGATAAAGGAAGAGAGAGGATGAGAAGGGAAAAGAGGGAAGGGGAAAAATAGAAGAGAAGGAAGCATCATTGGCATAGGAAGACATTATGCTCCATCCTACACCATATCTTTAAATCCAAGATAACCCTTTGGAGGTGGCCAGAGTCAGGCAAAGAGGTAGGTCTTTATATTGCCACTTTGATTAAGCATTGAAAGTGGGCCTTATCACATCAGGGTTGTCAGTCCTTTGGCAGTGACAAAGGCGGATCACTTGTGACAATGGGATCTGCTAGATCTCTCCATTGTCAAGTCACCTTTTCCTACTTTGAAATTAGTATGTAATCTTCAGAGTGATCCTTTGAGACTGCAAAGCCTGCCTCTCCACAACCTTTCACCTAAGGATTTTATAGTGATCTCTTTTTTGGTTGATTACATCAGTGGTTTTAAAGTGATCATTTCTTTTACATTGATTAGCAGGCATTCTTCTGCACCTCCACCTTTTCAAGTATCCCTGTGTGGTCAGGGACTAGGTTTGTATACAGTTATCTTGATTCTTTTGATGCTGTCCTGTACATGGCCAGAGGGAGCCTTTTCAGGCTGGCTGCTGTATTCTCATACTATGACACTGTTACTCATGGAGTTTCCTCACTTTGTGGGCACTTGGTTTTTCTAGGCTTACCTCGTGCTTTCCCTGCCCTTAACTTGGCAGTAGCCCCCTTGCTAAGGGGCCCTGGTTCATTTTGATGAGGAATGATATTTAGAATGCTGATGTGAGTGCTAGTTTTTATTATAAGGGCATCACTGCTTCAGAGGCCCTGAAGTGGACACAACTAGAAAATATATATACTTTAAAGTCCTCAGTATATGCTGATGCCTCTGATTCAAATTAAAAAACAAAACAAAACAAAACAAAACTGTGTGTTCCTTTTCTTCAGCCCTCTCAGACGTTTATTTCCTGTCTCTCAAAAGGAGAACCCCAGCTGCAGTAACATCAAAGTTTTGCTTTATCTGATGATGTCTTTTCCTGCTTCTTAAGTGTTCTCTTTTGTTATGACTCATCTTGGTGGTTTAATCATTAGCTATATAAAGATGCTGCCTTAACTTATCTCACGTTTGCATTTCATACCAGTGTCACTCATTGCATTAGTGACTAATGTCTATTTGCAACTCAGTGGTGAAGGAGGAACAAAAGTAACCACCACGCTGGCTGTAGATTTCAGAGGCAGAGGCTGCTTGGTTCATTCACTGATAAATGTCCAGTAGCATAAGCATGGCACCTAATAGTCAGGGACCAAAAAATAAATGTGTTTCAGAAGAATTCATCTTGTGTTAGTGTATGAAATGAGAGCACAACTGTATTGATCCAAACACTACATTTTATACTCTCAAAAGGTGAGTTTTATGGTATATAGATTATATCTCAACAAAGCTCTGTTTTCAAGTAGATTTCGAAGTGGGCAGCTGGGGGCAAGCAGACAAGAAGCACTTGTGGGAGCCGTGGCAGTGGAAGTGGAAAGCAGCTGGAGGGCATCGGAGCCCAGCTGTCTGCAGGGAACATGGTGGGACCTAAGAGCTGAGGCTGCACTTTCTGCTTGAGAGCAGAGATCCAGATCTTTGCTGTTTAGTCTTGGTGGGTGAGGAAAAGAAAAGGATAACATGGCAGAGACAAGGGAAGAGAGTAGTGCTAGGAGAGGGTTTATAGCTGGGAACCCAAGGACTCAACTTCCTAAAGGGTATCACTTGGATCCATGTGATATCACCAGGAGCTCAGTGCCAGCAATTTTCAAGCCTTCATTTATAATAATAATAATAGTTCCTGAAAACTGCAAATATTGTTTTAAAGCAGAAGGACACAGTAAATTCAAAAGTATCCAATTACAGAGTTGAGGATATAGTAGCTCAGCAGCATAAGCACCTGCCTGGCAACACACGGTCCTGAGTTCAATCCCTAGTACTAAAAAAAAAAATCAAATTACAGAAAATAAAGAGATGCAATAATGAAAATTCAGTCTTATGTTGAATTTGAAAGATTTAGCAAGTTAGGTACTATGAGATGTTTTGAGAAAATAGAATAGTGGTTTAAGTTGTGCAGTAAGCCTTTTTTTAGTGCCAAGTACTGAACCCCAGACCTAGTGCATCCTAGGTAGGTGTTCTACAGTGAGCTACATCCCAGGTAATAAAATTATTAGAGGAAAACATTTATCATTGAATGCACAGTGTTATGACACTAAGCAAAAAGAAAAGTTGTAACTGGGAGGAGGGTGGATGTTGAACTTAACCTTTTATTCTACTTTTT